ACACACACACACACACACACACAAAAAAAAAATAAATAAATAAATAAATAAATAAATAAATAAATAAATAAATAAAATAAAATAATAGGAGCAACAATATCAACAGTTACTGTCCATGGAGTGCCTTCTGCAACCAGGAATTTAACAAACCCCTCATTTTTACAATTTTAGGTTATTATCACTCCTCTTTTATAGATATGTAAGATGAGGCTAAGATTGTGACTTAAGATGGCCCAATTGGTGAGTGGAGGAGGTAGGATGTTTTGAGAAATAGCAGTGATCAACGAACAGAATTCCTTGATATTAAGAATAAAAAGCACATAAGAGAATATATTTTAGGATCTATAACATGATGCCTGGCGCGATTTTCAAATTGTGAAAGATGGTGAGACTGCACTGGGATCTCTTCTAAAGAGTGATTAATTCCTATGATGAAAGGCCTCTTATCATTTTTTAATGTGCACAATGTATAACATGCTAAAAAGAAAAAAGGAAAAAAGAAGGCAAGTCCATCAAATCAGACTGTAGATCAAGGGAAATGGAATCAGACCAAACTGATCTCTTTGCTTGCCTCTACTTTCCCACTGGTTTTGCCCCCACCCCGTACCACACTCTAACCCAGGGGTCAGCAAACTTTCTGTAAAGGATCAGATACTAAATATTTTAGACATTGCTTGCCACATATTTCTCTGTCGCAGCTCCTGAACTCTGCTGTTGCAGTGAAAAGGCAGCATAGACAGCATGTGAATGACTGGCCATGGTTATTTTAGAGTCAGACTTCATTTATGGACACTAAATTTGAACTTCATATAATTCGCATGTGTCACGAAATGTTATTCTTCTTTTGACTTTTTTTTTTGAATGATTAAAAAATGTAAGAACAACACTTACTTAGTTCATAGGCTGTCCAAACAGGCGGGGAGCCGGAGTGGGCTCATGTGTTGTGATTTACTGACCACTCTAGCCTGACACCCCCCTCTGGTTTCCAAACACATTGCTCATTGTCTCTATGGGTATTCCTTTTACTTCAAGCATTTAAATGTTGTTTTGGACCAAGAACTTAATCCTGGAAGAGACTTCAGAGAACCGAGTAATAGAAGTACTTCCACTCGTATTCTGCAAAAGCACATTTGCTGAGTCGTGGCTGCCAAATCAGCTTCAGCAGAAACAAATAGAAGCCATAGTGGCAGTCTAAGAAGATTTAGAATAAAATGGAAAATCCTTGGCATACGCTTCATTGAATTTTAATTGAAGATTTCATTGAAGATTAAAGGATAAATGCAGGACTTTGAGCTATCCCCAGAAGCTATCTAGTTTTAAAGGGATGCTAACAAATATGAAAATTCTTTGTGTGTTTCAACACAGCATAGATTCTTGCTAAATTTTAAATATTTTTGAGGTTGTTTTTTCTCACTAGGGGAGCCAGCCTCAATGTGATGGAAACACCCTTGAACTTGGTGTCCAAAAGAGGAAGGTTTGAGTTTCAGCTCTGTTAGTTTTACTGTGATCTTGGGTAAGTCAACATCACCTGCGGGAGTCTTGGCTTCCTTGTCAGTAAAATGAGATTAATAATCCTACCTCATAGGCCATTTTATTTTTTAGTTCTTTACTGTTTATTATGGAAATTTCAAACAGAAACAAAACAGGTAGAGAAGGATAACGAATGCCACGTGCCCATGCCCAGCTTCAACAATTCCTGGCAACTTGAAAAAATTCTTTCATCTTTACCTAGCCCCACTTTTCCTCTCTATTAGAGTACTTTAAAACAATTCCAAATGTAACATTATTTCACCTGCAAATATGTCAGTATGTATGACTAATAGATAAGATTTTTTTTTTCTTTTTGGTGAGGAAGATTAGCCCTGTGCTAACATCTGTTGCCCACCTTCCTCTTTTTGCTGAGGAAGATTGGCCCTGGGCTAACATCTGTGCCCATCTTCCTCTACTTTATATGTGGGACGCCGCCACAGCATGGGCTTGATAAGTGGTGTGCAGGTCCACGCCTGGGATCCGAACCTGGGAACCCCGGGCCACCGAAGTGGAGCATGCACACTTAACCACCATGCCACCCGGCTGGCCCCCTAGATAAGATCTTTTTAAAGAATATCATAATTCCATTGTCACACCTAGCAAAATTACAGTGACTCTTTAACATCGTCTATTATCCAGTCAGTGTTCAAATTTCCCCAGCTGTCTCAAAAATGTCTTCACATAGCTGATTTATTTGAATCAGGAGCCAAAGAAGATTCATATATTGCATTTGATTCTATGTCTCTTAAGACTCTTAATTTGTGGCAATTTCTCTTCTCTTCTCCCCATCTTTCTTCATATAATTAATTTGTGGAAGGAACTAGCTATTTGTCCCATAATATTTCACCTAATCTGGATTTGGCTGATTGCAACCTTCACACTTGTAGACTCATTGAACATTTTCCTCCTGTTCAGCTGTTTACTGTCCTTTAGATATAGAGACTTGATTAGATTCAGGTTCACTTTTTTTTAAAGCATATTTCATAGATAATGCTTTCTACTCGTGATTGTACCGCATCTAGAGGACATAATGTCTGGTTGTCTCTTTTTTAGTTATGGTAAGATTGATGAGTGGGGTCCCTCAGGTTAATACATTCTTCCTCAACCTCTCATTTGATGTTTTTAGCACTGGTTGATGATGACGGTTGCTTAGATCCATTTCTTTATAAGGGGTTGCAAAATGTAGGTTTTCTAATTCTATCAATTCTTTTGGATTTATTATAAGGAATTCTTTAGAAAAATTTCCCTCATTAACTCTTTGGTTACCATGAAATACAGTTCATACAATAAAGGCAAGATAAATGCTTGTTGGTGTCCCCCTTACACCTTTTTTTGGGCTAATTTTTAGTATAATGGTGGCCTGTCTCTATTGAGTTGGATGATGAGGGTTGGTGGTGGTAGAGGTGGTGATTTTTTTCCTGTGTTCGTAATTTCAGGAACTTAAACATTTTTGATCTATTTCAATCCCTCACAGTCATTCCTCTTCAAGTTAGGCTTTTGTGTCCTGTTCAAGTAGTATGCGTCACTTTTTTGCTTTCTAGTATGACAAAATATCTCAGGCTCACCTTATACATTTCTTCCCCCAGACCTGAATCACTCAAGAAGCCCTGTTTCTTTTTAGTAGAAAATGGTATACTGAGACCACAGTCTGGGCACTAGGAGTGTTAATTGCTTCTATTTCTAAATTTTTCGGTGGATAGACCTAGAATATACATTTTTAAAGCAAAATAAATCATTATTTTATTCTCATAATTTCATTTCAGATTATAAAGTTTTACATAACATTTTTGGTTCTAATTTGTATATTTTTTTCTCTTATGCTAAAAATCTTGGTTCTTAGTGATGCTAAGACAAGGAGTTCCTGGCTTTATTCTGCATCATGCACTCATGTGGATGAGTGCGTGCGCATGCATGCACACACACATATGATAGTTTCAGAATAGTGATACTAGTATTTCCACTAACGATATTATTCGTGAATGTAGTTTAAGATTGTTTTGCGACTCTTTTTGTTCTTAGGACATAACACACCTGTGATAAATAGTCCCTGGTATGTGTTTTAAAGCCACGTCAAATAATTTATGTGGCTATGCCACCAACTTGATATACAGATATATTCATTTGTTTTATTTGTTTCTTATTTTGGAGGATTTCACTTTTTTTTCTTTTTAATTTAGTTTTATTTTATAATGAGGCAAAAGAATTACATCGTTCAATGTCAAACTATAAATCACAAATTTTCCCCTTCCATCCATCCCTTCCTTCTTATAGAAATTATGATACAAATATCCTTTTGCGCACCATGCTTTTTCTTTGAGTAATACATCCTAGAGAAGACTCCAGAGCAGTAGTTTATTCAACCAGTCCTCTTTTTGTGGGCATTTGTGCTTTTCTCAATCTTTTACGATTACAAATATTTCTTCAGAAAATGGCCTTTACAGACTATTGAGAATTCAATAAAATGTAGTATATTAAAGGTATGTGTAAAGTACAAAATGATATACATATGTGTGTATATGTGTACATAAGTGATATATATATTCATATGATTTTGTTATAAACATATTATTTTAGTTCCACAGACATTTATTAGGTACTTACAATGTCCTAGAATATGAAGACGAATAAGATGTCTCTACTCCTGAGGTCTTACAGTCTCATATGTGGAATAAAAGAACAATTTCACATTTTTCTTCTCAGATAATTTAATTTTTAAGTTTCTAATCAATGATTGTTTCAGTTGGTGTTTTTTTATATTAAATTAATTCCTGGATTTATGGATATATACAGATATCAATAATTTATAATATTTTCTACTAGATTTGATTACAGCGCTAATACAGAACTTCTTTCAGTTTACGAACCGGATAATCATCTCATCAAAGAAGTTAGTTCTGTCTAACTGATTTATGTTTTCCTAAAGCCAGAACTCACAATGACAACAGTAACAGTGACCACAGAAGTTCCCCCAAGGGGTAAGATAGAAGACAATTCTGCCTTGTATGAGTCCACAGCAGCTCACATTATTGAAGAAACTGAATATGTGAAAAAGGTATGTGGGCACTGGAAATCATGTTAGCATGATACGATATATATATATATTTTTTTATAATTTTATTTATTTATTTATGTTTCCCCCCAAAGCCCCAGTAGATAGTTGTATGTCATAGCTGCACATCCTTCTAGTTGCTGTATGTGGGACGCAGTCTCAGCATGGCCGGAGAAGCGGTGCGCTGGTGCGTGCCTGGGATCCGAACCCGGGCCTCCAGCAGTGGAGCTTGCGCACTTAACCGCTAAGCCACGGGGCCGGCCCCAATATGATATTTTTAAATAAAGTCTAATATGGATTGGTGGGCTTTGTTTTTTCCCTCCATAAAACATGTGAGGAGGAATAAACCTAGTTTGGCAGACGACAATCTTGATAGTTGGAATTTAAACACATATTTAGTAATTTCTCTTGAGGATATGAACCTCTGTTCCTACACTTGGAGTAAAATTGAATAACGAATGGGCCAGGAGGGGTCGCAACAGCTCTCAGCACTAATTTGTCCCCCACTCTTTGCTGCTGCACTTCCTACTGTTTTATATCATTTCTCAGTTGTTTCATGAGCGTCGATACTGTGTTTCCAAGTAGCTATTTAGGTTTCCTGCTGAGTTTCTGTCTCACTTTGCCTTGTTCCTTCTCACAGTTCAAGGTCGATATCGCCAATGACTACATGTTGGCATGTTACTTCATTAAAAATGTGAAATCTTGTCAGAATCCAATGATAATGGCTGAGAAATGTATATATTCTTATGAACTGTTTCTTAGAACAGACAGAAAAATTTGGCCGTAGTAACATTGCAACTTATTCAGATCGATTAATTCATCTTTGAGTATCTTGCAATTCCATAGGTCACCAAGACACGGGGCTTATCTTTCATGCATAAATTTGTATGATCGCCTCTTAGTAATTATTCGGTAGTAATTACTAAATAGCAATTATTCTCTAGTAATTATTTTGTAGTAATTACTAGATAATAATTATTTTGTAGTGATTACTAAATAGTAATTGTTTTATAGTAATTGCTAAATAGTAAATTAGTACTAAATTACTATCTAGAAAAAATAGAGCTAAATAGTATTAAATGCTAATTACTAAATAGTAATTACTTTGTAGTTTTTTTTTCACTTAGGCTATGTTTTTGGTTTGACTGAGAAAACGTTATGAAGACCAAATGCTCATTTTCTGCCGTCTAAACAATATTAGCCTAAATACGACTTAGGTTGATGGCAGTTATTTAAATCTGAGATCAGTATATATGTATTACTGTCTAGATAAATGAGGTACACTGTAGTTGGTATAGAGAAAAAAGGTATTTGGCATTAAATGCTTTTGGAAAAAATAAAATATTTATTTTTTTCTTCTAGATTCGAACTACTCTGGAAAAGATCCGAAATCAAATGTTTAAAGGTGAAGTAGGACATAACAGTACAAATAACAAACTAGATGCAAAGGTATGAATTTATCAAAATGTACCACTATTATTCCTTCCGTAAATAAACATAAAGCCATATAGACTTTATTTAAATAAGTTTTTTGGATTATTATCAAATTATTCTTTGAAGCTTTGAACAAGTGTTAAATATTTTGTTGATATCTAAAGATGTTAATGGGCATATGTATGAAATATTAAACCACAGATGTCATTAGTAGGATCAGATTGGAATGACGGGACCTTACTTTACTATTTTAAACTGGGCTTACTTATCTAAAGTATATAGGAAGATGTTGGCCCCACCAAGATACGTGGCAGCAGTATTTCCCAATGACAGACAAAGGTACAAGTTTTTAGGTTTACCTGGGCCACACCAATGGACACACAGTTGAAGCCATTAGGCCAAGTGATCAGACAATTGATAAGCTTAAATGCACCCCCTCCCCTACGACCAGCCTTATTTTCTTAAGGTCGAGCAATCTGCATTTAGCCTTGTCTGGATTATGCCAGGTTAAATCTCATCTGAGCCAAGTGCACCTCATCAATGTCAGTGTTATGCACTGTGTAGTATGGCCACAGCGAACACCAGAACATGGGGTATGACGCATAAACATAGTCTTCTTTATCATCCTCAGCCTCCCAAACTAACACAACTAGCTCTAATCATTTTCTTAAATTAAGTGCTCTGAAATTGGAAAAAAGGTTAATGTTTACGAATAATGGGAAAGATCAGAAATTCAGTTTTGGCTATGTTGAGTTGCCTATTTGTCCTCCAAGTGGAGGCTTCTAATGGGTGGCTGGATATCTGATTCTGGAGTTGAAGGTAGAGTTCTGGGCTAGAAGATCCAGGCTACAAGGTAGAGCTTTTGGGAGTAAGGACGGTTTACAGTCCTGAAACTGGAGGAGATCACCAAGCATGTGAGTGTGGATAGACAGGAGAGAAAATATAAGCACTGAGTCTTGAGATTTCCAACAGTTAGATGGTGGGAAGAAGAAGAAGAGTCATCACAGGAGGCTGAGAGAGAGGCTAGTGAAAAAATAGGAGAGAATGGAGTCACTGAAGATGAGTGAAAAAGGGTTTCAGAAAGGGGTGAGGGACCACTGTGTCAAGTGGTGTCAACGGGTCAGGTAAATTGAGGACTGAACATTGACCATTGGCTATAACAATGGAGATGTCCTTAGTGACCTTGATAGGTGTAGCTTCTTAGGACTGGAGATGAATTGTGTTCTCAGTGTGTTTGCCTCAGCCATCTCAAACCACAGAAGGTCAGCAGACAAACCGAACCCTTTTTCCTTCAGTATCTGGGCAATGTCCTTGTAGGGATTTAGCCCTAATGGTCTAGGGCTTTGCTACTCTCAAAATGTGGTCTGCAGTCTCCGCATCATCAACATCTTCAGGGAGCTTGTTAAAAATGCAGCATCTAGAATTCCACCCCAGACCTCCCGAATCAGAATCAGCATTTTAACTACTATCACCACGTGATTCATATGCACATTAAAGTTTGAGAGGCACTGATGTCTGACCTTTGTATCTGTCTATCACTGCCGGTAGTCTACTTTCTACAAGAGTCTTTCCATCAAATCTTTTTTGTTTTGTTTTGTGAGGAGGATCAGCCCTGAGCTAACAGCTGTTGCCAATCCACCTCTTTTTGCTGAGAAAGATTGGCCCTGGGCTAACATCCATGCCCATCTTCCTCTACTTTCTATGGGACGCCGCCACAGCATGGCTTGACAAGCAGTGCGTCGGTCCGTGCCCGGGATCGGAACCTGCGAACCCTGGGCTCCCAAAGGGGAGCACACGAAGTTAACAGCTATGCCACCGGGCCGGCCCCTCCATCAAATATTCTTTAACAAACTGAAAAAGGAAATAATTCCGACTCTGTATATGGAGAGTGACAGTATGTACTAGGGTCTGGAGTAAATAAAACAAAACCATGACAGAATTATGATGACTATATTATTTATATGCCCTACATTCTTTTTGGTTTTTATTTCTATAAATGTAGTCCATATATTGTACTGGAAAGAATATAGGCTTTGTTCTTAAACAAACTTGGATTCTAGTTCTTGTTCTGGCAGTTACTTTAGGTATAACCTTGGGCTTGTTGGTTAAACTCTCTCATCATCAATTTCTTCATCTATGTAGTGGACACAGTGCCTTCTAGTGTTTTGAGTATCAGACCAAGGAGTATATTTAAAACATCTAAAAGATTACCCAACACATAATAAGTGCTTAACAAATAAAACGTGTTCCTATAATTGTAGGGCATGTATAATTGTATAATAATTCCTCAGTCTATCTTGAAATAATTTGGCAGAGCGCAAAGAGCATAGGATGGACAATCAAGAGGCTGTATCATGAGCTCTCCCACTCATTGGCTACGTAAACTTGGGCTCTGGCCCTCAGTTTTCATGTCTGTAAAATTGATGGGGTTGAGTTAGATGGTTTCAAATTTCCTTTCCATTCCTACATGTCCTTGATTCCAGAAGAGATTTATTTCATGCTCCAAGTATATTTTCAGGGAGCTAGAGTTTACATAGAGTTACACTGGCAGTAACATTCAGTTCTGACATCTCTGATTGGAAATTTAATGTGAGTTGATTACAGTGAAGCATCTTTGAACACTGAATATTATGTATTGTAGCTATTAGGTCTGATTGTATTAGTTTGTAACGAAATGTAACCAAGATGCATTTATGTCTACAACTTAGACAAAAAAACCAAAAAACAAAAAACTGCCCTTGTGGATATTATTCATGTCCTAAAAGGGACCTAATAGTATTATTTAAAACTGTAGGGAATATAAAAGGCATAAAAGATGTACTTCTACTTCTTTTTGATATAAGAATGTACTCAAATTTGAGCAGCTATAGAGGCTGGCTGCTGTACCTAGAATTCCTCATTGATATTTGAGATTCAAAAGATTTATTTTATTTGTGCTGACCTGAATCTTCCTTGATATATGTAGTACTGAGTGATAATTATTATTGTCAGAGTTTGTAAAGGCGTCGAATGTCAGCTCTGTGATTTTCACGTTTGTTTATTTCAGCACTCTCGAAACCTTCAAAATGGCTCTGATTCTGAAATGGATCCCTCTAGCTGCAGTTTGGATCTGCTCATGGAAAGGATAAAAGGAAAAGACCTAAAGCTCTTAGAAATGAACAAAGAGAATGAAGTATTGAAAATCAAGGTATGACCATTAGAGGAAATTTCTCATTTTGTATTTTGAGCCTTTGAGCCAATAGGATAGACTCATGGATCTGTGAAAGCAAACAGACATCCACACACATCCATCGATTCACACATATGCTCACATGCATTTCACAGATTAAATCTCACTCTTTTCTTTTGGAGACTACTTTTATTGTTAAAATGATCTTACAAAAGTTCAACAGGTATAAAGTTTCAGTTGTGAGAGATGAATAAGTTCTAGAAATCTGCTGTACAAAATTGTGCTTATAGTTCATACTGTATTGTACTCTTAAAAATTTGTTAAGAGGATAGATATCATATTAAGTGTTCTTATACAATAATTTTTTTAAATAGTCTTTACATATTTAATAAATATTAATTAGAGCACTCAGTCAATGTCTCATTATTTTATTTAATTAATCTACTCTTGAATGCTTTATATTTTCTCTTTTTTGGGTTATTTTATCTGCAGTCCTACAATGAATATCTTGGTGGTTAAATCTTTCCAGCCATCCTTGATTGTTTCTTTAGGTCAAATTCTTTTTTCTTTTCTGAGGAAGATTCGCCCTGAGCTAACATCTATGCCAATCTTCCTCTATTTTGTATGTGGGTTGCCACCACAGCGTGGCCGCCACTGAATGGTGTAGGTCCACACCTGGGAACTGAACCCAGGCTGCAAAGTGGAGCGCACTGAATTTAACCACTAGGCCATAGGGCTGGCCCCTTTTTAGGTTAAATTCCTGAAAGATTTATAACACTTTAGCTTTATTGCCCTTAATACTCCAATCCTGTCCCACTGCTATTTTAGGAAAATAAATCTTTTTGTACTATTGTGGACATCTATGATAAAATGCTTGCAAATATGTATATAAGCTGAACTCTTTGTAGGGTGCGGTGTATAAATGCAGGGCATTGATGTGTGCGGAGCTCTGCTTTGGCCTGGCCAGTGCAAATCCATCTGCATGACAGCCTACTAAATGGGAGGATTCTCATTTTGCATTTTCCAGATAACAGTATCTTTTCTCCTATCCATTGTCTATGAGGGTGCAAAGGGTACAGTTACAGCCTCTGTGGTTTTAATTGCCTGTCAAACTGTTCTGTCTTTAACCCTTTTTATTGTAAATGTCAAAACATGCACAGTGACCTTTTTTCCTAGCTCGAAGCCTCCAGAGAAGCAGGAGCAGCAGTTCTGAGAAATGTGGCCCAGAGATTATTTGAAAACTACCAAACACAGTCTGAAGAAGTTAGAAAGAAGCATGAGGACAGTAAACGCTTACTCCAGGTACTGAGCTAGTAGCTTGTCTGTTGGAGAACTAACCCCTGAGCTGCACAAGTCCCTCTTTTTGGAGGAGTGAGATGTGAAACAAGTGGTGGCCCAGGGACTTGGCAGGCCCTGGTAAGGACAGGGTAACTGTCTTCTGTGCCCATCTCCCCCACCCCTGCTTAGCCCAGCACCTAGATGCTGCCGAGCCACTTGCCAATAACCCTGCAGAGCACAGGTGGGAGGGAGGCTGTGCCACCCTGCCTAGAAGTCAGGGCTAGCCCAGGTGACACTGACCAGTGCCTTCTCTTCTGGTTCTGCCTTTGACTAGCTAGATGACCCAGGTTGAGTCTACCTCTCTGGACTTGGGGTTCCTTGACTCTAAAATGAAAAAGTTGGGCTAGATAAATGGTTTAAAAAATCTTTTGGTCCTAGAATACATTTTTCAGCTTTAACAAACAAAGAAACAAACATTGCATGTATGTGTACATATATATATTTTTAAATATAAAAATTATATATTTCATATTTTAATATATGAGTATATATAATTAAAATATTGAAAACACATGAATATGTATATGTGTGCATATATATGTATATGGATATATTTCATAGACATACATACACTTTTTGTTTGTTTTAAAATCTGAAGTATGTACCCTAGGACCAATAAAACTTTATCTGAATAATGTATTCTAGGACTGGAAGAGGGAAAAAAATGTGTGTGTGTGTGTGTGCATGTGCGTGCGTGCATGTGCGTGCATGTGTGTCTGTGTGTGTGCATGTGAGTGCGCGTGTGTCTGTGTGTGTGTGTGTGTGTGCCTAAACTCAAAAGAGGGAAGCTCATTCATGCTGGAGTGGGGCACATGGATCTCTGCCCATTCAGGCCCTAGGAAGGTCCCCAGGGGAGCACAGTAGGAAATCCACTGCAGAGGGGACGGGTCTTCATGCTTCAGTCTGTGATGGTGATGTTCGCAAACTCACACGCATGCAGGGCGCAGATAAAGAACTAAGTGAGTGAAGTGAGCAGGCTTGTGTGGACCCGAATGCTCTGCATGAGTGGTGGGCCCGCAGGGGCTGGAGTGCACACATCCCTGCGAGGGGGCCTCAGCCTCAGCCTGGAGTTGCCTGGCAGGAATGCCCACTTGGTGTTTTCAAGAGAAGCCAGACACATTTTTTTAACTGTAAAATCTTGAGTTCTACTAAATACACCTACAAATGTGTGTGTGCATGTCGGTTGGAACACTCCCAGTATGGCCTATGGGCTGCCAAGATGAAGACTTCTGTTCTGTGGTCTTGCAGCACAACTCCTGCTGTGTGCCTAGGAAATAACGCTTGACACAGTGGGAATAATTATTCTGCTTTTATGACACCTTCTGATTAAAAATAAAACATTTTTTCTTAACCATCTAAGATTTTATTTTTGTTTTAGATAAGTCTTGTTAAGAAACTTAAAGTCAAAAATTTTGCTTTTCTTAAATTAGCTTCTCTCTTTCTTATACCTGTTATATGTTTTATGGTAGTATGTTTTATGGTAACAAATGTAAACATTCTAGGAATAATATTTATATATTATTAATTCTCCATTGATTTAGTGTTGTGCTAGTCCACCAGAGAACGCTGAATTCAAGAAAATAATTCTAAACACGTGCGAATTATTAAATTTTTTTTGGCTACTCAGAAAATGAGAGAGGGAGGTAATATATGTGTAGGTTTAATAAAAACAATAGTCTGACAACTGCTTTTCTGACCAAAGGTTAACAAACTTGAAAAAGAACAGAAATTGAAGCAGCATGTTGAAAATCTGAATCAGGTTGCTGAAAAGCTTGAAGAAAAACATAATCAAATCACAGAATTGGAGAACCTTGTACAGAGAATGGAAAAGGTAAGACCCTGGAGAGTTAAAGGGAGTTCTCCCTGACAGGGTTAGAGTAAGAATTAAAGAAAATAACACTAACATAAATAACATTAAGTGAAAGTACTCTTTGCAACTCTGAAGACTTTAGAAAGTTCTCAGTAATGTTAGTTTCTTCCCTTACATATTTAATATGACCTGCACTGTAATTACTGATTTCTCTCTTTACAAATACTGCGGACACCTCATTGTCTGTCATGTTTTCTTTCTAGTAAATGTATGTCTTAGAAAGGGGAACCAGGTGAGGCTGTGAATGGAAACGATGGAAAAGATCATAAAGCCCACCTACTGCTACTAATAATAAAGTGGATCCCTGCAGTCATAGTATTGTTATGTATGAGTCTGTGTCGCTGTTTGGCCATCCAAGTTCACTTTAGGTTTGTAAAAACCTATTGCTGCACTAGGACAGATATAGTTCACATTAAGAAAAGACATTCTGGAACTTTCAAAAGAGACAACTTAGGGAAGAGTAATAATAGAATGAAAACTATTAAAAGTTTCATGCAGTATTCCTTTAAGTAGCTGGCTTGCCAACTATATACAAAAGGTGAGCACATACATTTAATCATGCATGCCTTAGAATTTAGAATTCAGACAAACCAGGGAATATTTTTTTAAATAGAAAAACAAATAAAAAATTGGCATCTCAAACTGAATGGGGGGTAGATAAGAATATAGGCTTTGACTTCTAGTAAATATTGCCCACTAAATTTTTATATTTATCATCTTAATTCCTTGATTTGCCTCTTCTCTTCTCAGCCTTATTTTGCTTGATAAGTCTGCCTGAGTTGATGCCATTTTAGAAATATCACTTCAAAAGCATCACGTTTCAACATTCAGGTTTCTTGCCAGAGGAACTTTGATTAATTTTTTACATATTGCCCAAGAATTTAATTTATAGCACTGTGAGTTTGGCTGAATTTGTAACCTTAATGAAGGTCCTATGAGGAAATAATGAAAATTAAATAAGCCCAAACTTAACTGAATCTAATAATAATAATGTATAGCTACATCTGAGCATTATATTTTAGCCAGAATCACTGGGCTAAAATGTCCTCAATCAACTAGTTTGTCCAGGTGTGGCAGTTTATAATTATGATGTTTTGGAGAAATTGTAATATTTGAAAGGATATTTCGTAGCATTAGAATATTTATCCTGTAATAAATAGTTTAACAAACTAAGATAGCACAAAGATTGTTTGCATTTAGGAAAGAAAGACAGTTCTGGAATGCAAATAGGTTGTTGAACCAACAACTTGATTACCCAGTTTGACATTTAAACTTATACTTGCTATCACCTCAAACCCACTAACCCTGGGTTAGGTTTAGTGCTAGCTGACAGTCCCTGAAAATTAACAAAAGAACAGTGGTATATAATTTCTAGTTCTTAGTAACCCCAGGAAATCTGTACTAGATGTGAGTTCATCTCCAGATTCTGGGATAAATTCACTCGACTATTTATTCGACAAATATTTGAGCACCTATCATGTACCAGGCAGAGCTGGAGGTGTGATATCTATTTGTGAATGAACCGGGTATAGTCTCTTTGGGGAGATTACAATGGAGTATGTCTGGGTTGTGTGGGACTCAAGGAACTTCCCAGCTCTCCCTTCATTCATTCTGCTAGGGGTCCTTAGGGAGGCTGACACCCCTATTGAAGGGAGGGAAATGTACCCCAGAAGGAGGTTAAGTGGCTCAGACACTGGCAGACACTTTTAAGAAGTGATGGCTAAGCTATTGTTTTAGTATTGACCCATAATGATGGGCTGTCTCTAGGAGCTGTGACAGAGTGAGTGGACAGGATGCCCATGGTTCAGCAAGCCCATGCAGTAACCTTCCAGAATACTCTAGTTCAGTGACTTTCTACAGTGGAGCCTACTGGAATGTCTGGGAGGTGGAGGTAGGTGGGGATGGAGAGGAAGGACAATGTGCAAGAGCTTTTTTAAAAAAAAATATTTATTTTAAAGATATATTTGTAAAAGAAACAAGCACATAAATAAAAGTATAAGAAGCAAAGCTTGGCAACATCTTCTTGGTTTAAGGAAATACTGAGAATACAGGCTGTGTTGAAGGGTCTCTCAGGTTGGGAGTGTACATTAGAATGAGGGGAGGGAGTACAGAGACTTTTGTATTAATAGGAAAAAGACATGAGTTCAAAAAGGAAATGAAAATTAAAAATGAACATCCACAACAAAGGTTGATAAATATTGCCCTGGTAGTGGGTGCCCCCTGGAGAAGGATTCATTTTCTACTCTCCTGAACAAGCCACTGCTCCAGTAAATAGCCATTAGTGGGATGAGGTCTGGTAATGAACACATTACTTAAAACCTTCACCATCTGTCCCCCTTTAATCAGGAATGCAGCGAGAATGAATTCCATAAACACAGTGATAAGCCGGCAAAAACGCCCAATAAGAGCATTTTAATATGGCATATGTTCCTTTTGCTAACAGTGCAATTCTGTTGCATCATATTTCTTTTCCAGTGTCATTGATTTAGCACTATTAGAATTTTAGAGCTCAAAGGCACTTTTGAGACCACCTAGTTCCTCATCATGATTTTATAAACGAGGACGGTGCAGACAAGGAACTATTCCACGGTCCTCCAGTTACCAGGGCACAAACCTTTCCATTATGCCCCTGTCATCTCTGATGACAGATAAAAATGATATCCTTGGTTTCTAAATCATTTAGATGTTAACATATGGCAATGATTTAAATTGGTGTCCACTCCACCTTGATCAATAGGGCAAGGGAACTCGTGAGGTTCCCAGAGGTGCTGTTTGGGAAAGAGTGGATTGCCCACTGGGTGGTGCTGTGTACTCCTTTCCCTTTTTAGAAGATACTGTCCCTGAGAAGAAGTGCTAGCTGGTATGGTGTGATTTTCTGTGTTGTCAGAGAGGAAGCATTAAAAGCCCAAGCGAGATTCTGGGGCCTTGGTCAAGGCAGAGCATTTACTTGTCTAGTCATCTGGTCTGCTTGAACTCTGGTTATGAAGATCCATTAACTGAGAGTAAGTCTATTAGGAAGAATGTTTGTTAAACACGATTTTCACCCCTACAAAATCAAAACATATTATCACTGATGTGTTTCTTTGATGATCCAAGTATTGTAATAAGCTTGCAAGGCATATCTGTGATCCCTCAAATATAATTTTAACACAACTAGGGCTACACCGAGCCCTAGGACAGTTTCTATAGGCGACAAGAATGCTGCAGGAGAGATTTGAGAAAGTCAGTATAAATTTTAAAAATAACAGAGCACATAAGATGTGGGGTGTTTGGCACCTTCAAAGTACTGTATATTGAGGTCCTAATATGTGCCAGAGAAGCATGTAGGCCTTTCACATAAATTATCTCCAATCATCCCAACATTTCAATGTACATAGTATTATCCCCATTTTAGGGATGTTCAAAAAGTCAAAAATACGACTCAAATAAATATAGAATGAATACGTCTGATGTCTTATTCAACTCATTAATTAAAGAGAGAACCAGTAAGTGGTAAAGCTGGTTTAAATAAAATATTTTGAGAAACTGGCTATTTATAGGCGTTTTGAAAAAGGAATATAGAATAGGATTACGAGGTGAGATACAAAGCTGGTTAATATTCTTTAAGGCAATTCAACCATAACCTTTGGGACTATCTTTTCTACCAGGGAGAAATCTACAAATTAACATGCAACTTCACAGACTCAGAGCTCTAATCAAATAATAAAGTCAAACACAGGGAAATTCTCCAAGAGAGTTAAATAATCTTTGTGTAGAGTTATTAAACAATGACCCAATATGACATTAAAATCATACATTGTTTTGATTTCCAAGTTTTGGTTAATTTTTCTTAACAGTGATAAGGCCCAGAGAGGTTAAAACCTTGGCAAAAAGTACAAAGTTTCAAAACCAGGTCAGTCCATGTCCAAAGACTTTCCAATGTTTTTGCTCTACGACGCGGCCTTGTCTTTTACCCATATAAATACTGCAGCAGGAATGATTTTAAACAACATTGTACATGGTGACAGAACATCTCTTTACCATCCGATATAAAAAAGAACACAATCATCCCAGGTTGGTTTTTCATGGATTTGTCTATTTTCCTTTTGGATGGAAAGAGTTTGGTTTAATAATGACATTAAGGCATTTCTTTAGATAGTCTTTCTCAATGTCAAAATTTCTCTTATATCCTAATTGGGGAGTGACTTGACCATTTGTGGCCTTGATCCTTCACTAAAAATACATTTACTACTTTTCTACTTTCTGACAGATGCCATGTGAGCAGGTAGGAGTATCAGGATACCAACAACTCATTCTGATGCAGGAGAAGCAGGCGTCATGGTGGGAGAGCCAATGCTTAGAGAGAGAGGAGCAGGCAGTTTGCCTCTGGGGTGGGTTGGAGAGAGGGAGGAGACGGTTTTACTGAGTGGGGTAAATTTCAGCAGTGGGCTGGAGGAGGAGCAAAAGCTCTCCAGGCAAGCGAGGGGAGTGAAAACAACTAGTCTTGAGGTGCGGTTGAGCTACTTGTAAACCGTGCAGGAGAGTGCCTGACAAGGCTTCACGGGTGGGGGGTGGGGGGCGTGGAACAGCTCCCTATGACATTAGCTTTTAGTTCAAGACATATTTCTAGTATTACAAGGAGCATCTTTTGTGAACAGTTTGCAAGAATGCCCTATCAAACACACACACATACACAGAGAGAAAGTGAGAGAGAAATAAGCAAAATTGTTTCTTATTTTCTCCTAGGAAAAGAGAACACTGCTAGAAAAAAAACTGTCTTTGGAAAACAAGCTGCTACAACTCAGATCCAATGCTGCATATGCTAAAAGGTTTGCAGATCTACCTCCTGAGTAAAAGCACTTTCTGATAGCTTTCCTCACCATGGTCCACTGGCCAATGGACAGAAGGCTACCACTCCCCAGGGAAACAGGAAGACTGAACGTGCTGGAGAGAGGGAGATTTTTTAGCATTAATAGCAGTATGTCTCCCCTTCCTCACCCACTGGGAAATGGGGGAGGGGCAGAGTTCACTGGGGGTCCAGGGAAACTGGTGGGAGGGTTAATCCTTCCGAAGAGTGAATGAGCCTCCTCCCTGTTGACCCTTGGTGCTAAAGAGAATGCTGTTGAGCTCTTCATTCCCCTGATGCTTCTGATTTTGTTAATGGATCTCTGACAGCTGGCATTAAATTGACTGGCCACAAGTGGAATTGTAAGATAGTTTTGTGGTGCTCCCCAACTTTGTAGAGAATGAAGGAAATGTGAAAAACATCCTTAGTTCTTTGGACTTACAAATACTTATAATTCACAAGCAGTCCCAGTCCTTGGTATGCTGGGGGTGGCGTGGTTTTGTGGATATCATACCACTGCTTTACTACTCAGCTACTGTTGGAAACTTCTCTGGAATATCGTGTAATAACTCCTATCACATGAAATTTCCAGAAGTTTTTCTTTTCTTTTCCTTTCCTTTCTTTTTCTTTCTTCTCCTCTCTTCTTGTTTCTGTTCTTTTAATTCTAAGCCCACCACAGTCATTATGTTCTGATATAACATTCAAAGTCAAATCTATTTAAAGATCTTAGTTCATCCATCTAGAGCCATTGCTCCTTGGGGTATCAGGCGCTATTATGAGCCTCAGAATGTACAAATTCCTATTCTCACTTATTCTGTAATATATGCTCAAACATCCCTCTCTCTTGGTCTTTTGATTATTTGTCTCCATTTCCTTTTCCTTCTCTATCTGTCTTTCTCTTCTTCTCTCTCATATGCTATGCCTTCTGTCTGGCTCATATTCATGCACTGGACCACATATGCCACATCCAGAACTGGGCTGACCCTGGCAATTGCACATACGTATTCGAAACCACTGGGATACCATTAACATTAATTTCCCCATATTTTTCCGTCTGAATAAGGTATAGCCACAGAAGGCAGACTTCTGGGAGAGTTTCGTAGCACTCTGCATCTCCGTAGAGAATGAATGATATACTGTGGAAAACATCTATAGTTCTTTGGAATTACTCACATATACTCATAACTCTAACTAAATCTTTGGCTTACCTTATTTTTTTTTTTCTTAAAGAGAGCTTTTCCATGTAACGGAACTACTGGCTGGTACAATGTGCCTTCCATTAAGAGTGCAGACAATCTGAGTTTGATATCTTTCTTTAAAAAATGATTTTTTATTGATAATAGGGTTTTTGTCAGTCTTTGAGCCAAAAATGTAACCATTTTAAAAACAAAACTGATCTATTCTTTCAGTTCTATTATATATGAGCAGTTGTTATAAGGAATTCTCAAAAAGCTCTTAAAGAGGTTTTAAAAGTATTTCGAGGGAAATGGATGTTTTGTGTTCCAGAAAGATGTTTGGACATTCAGGCTTATGCAATTTTCATAGATTGTAGGTATTACAAATATTTATCTTACTTATTACTTTGAGCTGTGAGTAGAGGTATTCACTTTGCTAAGTGACAAGAAAATGAAATTGGTATGAGGCAGACTTTTTTGGTTAAAGTGATAGAGACTTGGTTAAGCTACCACAATAAGAGGATTTCTGTTAGGTTAAGATTGGATAAATATAGCCATAAAGAAGATGCACCTTGTGGGAAAACAGGAGGGCCACCCTTTAGCACCTAATGTGGTTTTAAAAACCAGATTATTTTGTTGCTCCCATTCAGTCATGAGTGTTTGTGAAGTCTCCCTTTTCTCTTGTTTTTTGTTCTTCTGGTATGATTCGTTAACTTTTCCCACCATTTTTCACCAGCTGGTTTGTATTCTCTGTATTTTCCTTTCAAATTCCAGAGGAAGGAGTCTGATTGGCCTAATACTACTTCCCTTATTGGGCAGATTGATCATGTTGACCAACCCCTACGTTGTCATCCAACCAATGGCCTTTTGGCAGACACTCACTCCCAGTCTGTGGTGGCCTTCCCTTACCCAAAGAATAGCCTAGGACTGCTTCCCTGAGCAGGGGGCTATGGGTGATTAAATTTTCCTTAGGCGTAGATGGTGGTTGTGACATGTGCCACGACTTTCTTGAATTACAGTGAGCTTCATTCTGCCATTTTGGTAAAAAGATTCAATATGCTCTAACTTGGCATTTCTAAAATAAAAAAGCATCTCTCAGGATGATAACTTATAAGCATTTGTAATTCAAAAGAAAACGACAGTTTTTTGTTGTATATGGATATGTATATATCATTATAATGTATTAAGCTAATGCTCCCAATTACTTTGAACAAGAGTTAAAAGATGTGGCAGAAGCATCTCTTATTAAAAATAAAGTTGGCTCCGTATTTCTACTACCATCAGCACCAACTGACACATGTATAGAACTTTGCTGTTTACAGGGTGACCCCAGATACCTTAATTTAATCCTTCCATTGATCTTTCAGGGAGGGCACTGAGCTTCTAACTGGTTAAGTGATTACATGGCCTCTCAGAAGTTGTAGAGCTGGGAGTTTGGGCTTTAATATTTTCATAGCAAAGCCCGTGCTCGTTCTGCTATAGAGGAGATATGATCTTCTTTCTCTCATTTCCAGAGACCTCTGTAGACCTTCCGCTTCTAGGAAGATGTAGAAAATGTGTATCTATGAGGAGAAGGCAGTTTCCACACTTGTCGCTCTGCCCTGTGACATCACAGACAAATACACAGGCCCATTTTAGAGTTATCCTTTGGGGAAACACAAAAGTTGTATCTCAGAAAATCCTTTTAAAAAAGGAGAGCATGGGGCTGGCCCCGTGGCTTAGCGGTTAAGTGCGCGCGCTCTGCTGCTGGCGGCCCGGGTTCGGATCCCAGGCGCGCACCAACGCACCGCTTCTCCGGTCATGCTGAGGCCGCGTCCCACATGCAGCAACTAGAAGGATGTGCAACTGTGACATAGAACTATCTACTGGGGCTTTGGGGGAAAATAAATAAATAAAATTATAAAAAAGGAGAGCATGATGCCAGAGACCAATTGGTTCAAAGCCACTATAACAGTGAGGAGCCCAGGGCACGCGGCAAGGTCCGATAATGCTACCCTCTGATGGTATAAGTTAACTCAAAGATGGATTTTAAAGTATCCTGACAAATGATGACAGTCCTTCATGAACTCAATTTCCTTTGACCAAGCCTTTGACAGATACAGGCCAGCAGAGAGACTGAGAGTATGATTCTTGCCCAGTACTTACTCTGTGATCATCCCATGTTATTAGTTAAAGGCAATGCCATTTGTTTTGACATTTCTGCAAGTTAAAGACAGGATTGACTTCCTGTCTTGAATGCTAAGGAATCTAACAGGAAGAGTACCAGAAATGGTATTCTGTTCACTCTGCCTTGGTGGTGAATCGAGAGAGGATCCTCAATGCCCTTCCTCAAAAGGGTAGGGCCAGCGTTTTCCTCTCTTTTGGTTGGGGCTCTTTTGTCTGCTCCCATTGGCATTTCCAGCTGCACACTCTTTCAGCTCCAAGCCTGGGACATATGAGCCAAAAAGAAAACCCAGGGAACTCACCATTGTGTTGTTTCCTGGATCCCAAGCTAGTCTGATTCTTCTCTCCACTTTTCACAGTCTTCTTGTGTTTGCTTATATATTATGTCCAGGTTTTTGGTTGTATTTAATGGGAGGAATGGGGAAAAACATCTTCTGCATCTTCCTGGAAGCAGGAATTTTTTGATTCTGTTTTAATTTCAACATTTGCCTTGTATTTATATTGAGCATTGGGAGGCAGAGCCTGCGTCCTAGATACAGTCATTTGTTAGAAGGGCTTGTCCTCCTTTCCTAGGTTTCCACTTCGTTATGTTTCCTTCCTGCTGATTTGCTTTAGTGCCTCTGTGTGAAGACTGAGCGCTTTAACTGAAAGATAAATAACAGAGATTAAAGGGAGCTCAGATGGCAGCTTGTTTAAGTATATTCTCACATTTAAAGACCTTAAATGGATGACTAGGTTTCATGTTTATTGAACAATCCTAAGGGAGATTTTCTGCAACTTCCTTTAGTCACTGTTCTAGTGTATGAATGCAAATAAGCCTGAAAGCCCTGTGTTCTCAAGACTGCTTCTAGAAATACTTTTCTTCCGTCTTGAGACCTATTTCAGATTTTTATTTATCTACAGTGACTTTTATGGTAATACTCTTATGGAATACATGGGGAAATTTCCTGAGCTTCGTATTTTGGGGAGCACAGTATCTACCCCCCACCCCTGTCCTTCTAAAGCAACCTTTTTTCCTTTTGGTACCAGGGTTCTAGGTCATCCTAGGACATAATGAGACCATTTTGAATACTCACCTTTAAAATTTTTGTAAATTTTTTATTTTATTTTTTAAAATTTTTAATGAATTTATGAACACTTTATAAATATTCAAAGTCAACCCGTCTTTGCAAAGCATCCCAAGTTCTTTCTCATTGTTTGCCAGGAAAGTCTTGAGTCTGGCTGCTCTTTCTCCCTTCTTCTTTTCTCCTTTTTCCCTCCTCACTGGAGCAATTTTGAATCTTAGCAGCAGCTGTGGGCCAGATTTCTGTTTGCCTTCTCTGCTGTTTTGGTCCTTGTGTCCTCAACTCATCTTTTTTGTGAAGAGCCTCTTCAAGTCACTTTCTAATTTTTTCTATTGGGATACTTGTCCTATTGATTTGTAGATGTTCTCTATATATTCTGGATACAATGCCTTTATCAGTCATTTGTGTTACCAATATTCTGAGGCTATCCTATTCACTCTTAGTTGATGACTAGAGGTTTTTAGTTTTTGTCTAGTCAACTTATCAATCTTTCCCTTTGTGGTTAATAGTGTTTTGAGTTCTGTTTTAAAAAAATCTCTATTCCAAATTCACGAGTATGCTCTTCTATATTATCTTCTGAAAGTCTCTTGGGTCCCCAGTTTTATTCACAATCTATGTGGAATTTATTTTTGTTATGAGGTAAGGCTAGGATCTATTTTCTTTTTTTTGCTGAGGAAGGTTAGCCCTATGCTAACATCTGTTGCCAATCTTCCTCATTTTTTTTTTTTTTTGCTTGAGGAAGATTAGCCCTGAGCTAACACCTGTGCCAATATTCCTCCACCCTATATGTGGGTCTCCACCACAGCAAGGCTGTCTAGTGGTGTAGGTCTGCATCCAGGATCCAAACCCACGAACCCGGGCGACCAAAGCAGAGTGAGCCGAACTTAACCACTATGCCATGGGGCCAGCCAATTCTTTTTCTTTTTTTCATGGGAATATTCAGTTGTCTCAGAACCATTTGTTGAAAAGACCATCCTCTTTATAACATTCTGCAGAATCATCGTTGATATAAATCAAGTCTATTGGTATAGCTCTGTGATATATATGTCTATGCAAAATAAAAGTGGCATGGATATAGCATAATTTGTTTTATCAGTCTTCTATTGAACATTTAGATTGTTTCCACTTTTTATGCTATGAGGAATAATGAACTACATTTTACATATGTCTTGTGACATATATGTTGTGTAATTATACAGTATTTTTATAGTATAAATTATTTAATTCCATAGGATAAATAAATAGTATGGCTATCATTATACATTATTTGTACTTGTGCAAGGATTTCTGTAGTTTTATAGAAATTAATTTGTTCTGCAGTAAAACAAACTCTTTTTGAAGCTCTCTCATCAAAACTAAAACAGGGAAAAAATTGAAAGATTCTCTTAAGTATTGCAAGTTGCCTGCAAATTACTTGGCTTTGTAAAACTATACTAAATACTAAAAATTACTGAGACGACATTAGTGGTTTAGTGCTGCGCTACTGAAAGCACTTAAAGTCTGGCCCATGGACCAGGAAAATTACTGCAATACCTGGAGCATGATGGAAATGCAGAATCTCAAGCCATACCTCAGCCTACTGGATCAGAATGTGCATTTTAACAAGATCCCAGGAAATTTAACAAGATCCTCCAACGCATATTAAGTTTGAGAAGCAATGTTTTGGTATATGATGTGAAACAAAATGGAGACTCTGTTTTTTCTTTCTAATGACAACATGTTCTTTAGTATCACATGAATTTCCATGACTTTTGTAATATTTGTAGAGGCTATAAAAATCAGAATTGCGATTGCATTGGATGTTGGCTACTAATTATAAAACCTTAATAAGCTAAAATAATATTAAGATATTACTTGCTAAAAAGCTTATTTTCTGAAAGTACGTTGACTTTACCTCTTTAAGACTACAATATAACTTTGTGATGTAGTAAAGGGAGGAATTATTATATCTATTATGCTAAGGCTTAGAAAGGTCGTGTGACTCCAAAGTCACAATGCTCCCAAGTTTGGTGGTCTTGCCACAATGCATGTTGCCTCATAATTCTAATAAAATTGGCAAGAAAAGAAATAGTCCAAAGCTGTGTAATCCATTGCAGTTTCCTAAATGGAGCTTTGGGAAAGTATGAATAATCGAAATTCCAACATCACCCATCTTTTTTCACAATGGTTAAGATAGACTCAAAATATTAGCTGGAATTTAGTTTCCTCCTTTTTTTTTCTTGCCCTACTTATGGGTAGTAGAATTACCAAAAGTAGGAAGCCAAAAAAAAAAAAAAAAGGAAAAAAGGAAACACAGGCAATCCACAACATATACTAATCCTGTATCATTGGAAGTTGCTTTCTGGTATATATGTAAAATCTCCATTCCTGGCTCTGTGTTCTAAGTCTGCTATCCCCATGTAATTATCTATGCATTCTGATTGGTGCTAGGTCTGTGGGTGCTCGTAGGCAAGACAGATTAGAGATGTAAGTGCTTCACCTGGCTCGATACAATCCAATCCAATACGACTTGACTCAACTACCTGCTGGAGGGAGGGGAGTCACAGGTGGCCAGAAAGGAGCTTTGACATGAACTGATATTCTTATTCAAGCTCATATCGAGCTAATCGGAGGCTGCTTCGTGGTGTCTTGTGTGGCATATGGGGCCCTGGGCGCCACTGGGTCCACATGATGCCCAGTAACAGTGTAGTGTGTGAGGAGAGCCTGGCAGCACAGCTGTAAACAATAACTGTATAATGCATTAGCAAACCTTTCTCTCTCTTTTTCCTTTGCATTTCCAGTTGCCAGGATCTTCAGATGGAGATTTCCCTTCTCCAGGAGCAGATCTCTCATCTGCAGTTTGTGATTCACTCCCAACATCAGAACATGCGCAGTGTCATCCAAGAGGTCAGATTAATCAAATGTGTTTCTCTGGTAGATGGTATGTTTACAGTGAGAAGACCAAACACAAGTGGCTTCTCTGGACTTTCCAAGCAGGGAGATTCTTCTTCCCGCTGACATTTCCTTGTTATTCCCATGCTGTGTGGCTCTGTTTCCAATGCACTCTTTTGTCTGTATGCCAACCCCTGTAATGTTCTCAAGGAAGATATTTGGGAAATGGTGTTTAACTGCTCTTTAGATGATTCAGCGATTTTTTAAAGTGTTCTGAGCCAGATAATGTACACTGTTCTTTTGAAGATTTTGTAGGTTAGGAGATTCAGCTCTGTCTTTTTTGTGTGTGTGTGTGAGGAAGGTTAGCCCTGAGCTAACATCTGTTGCTAATCCTCCTTTGTTTGCTGAGTAAGATTGGCCCTGGGCTAACATCCGTGCCCATCTTCCTCTACTTTATATGGGACGCCTCCACAGCATGGTTTGATGAGCAGTGCGTAGGTGCACGCCCGGGATCTGAACCTGCAAACCCCAGGCCGCGAAGCAAAGCGCGCACACTTAACTGCTGTGCCACTGAGCTGGCCCCTTCAGCCTTTTTCTTGAGGAAGAAATTATCTGCTTTCATAACCTCATAAACAGTAAATTTACTTAGGAGGTGTGTTAGGGCAGGGGTGTAGCCGGGCCGTTCTCTGGGAACATCCTGGCAGGTGCAAGAGAAGCGGTAACTGTGGTGGCAGCCAGATGGATGGTGGATTGTACACTCATACAATTTACTTCAAGGATATGTTTTGATCTGGTTTGGAGGATGTGCTTTAGACCTCAGATCAGACCTTCATTCACTTTTTTTACTACCTAATAATTGTTTCCAAAGGAGTCCTTCCAAATAACTCAAATGCCTTTCTGACATAAATGTAACACTTGTGTTGGCATGGCTAGGACCTCACCAAAGGGCCAGAGCATTAAGTCATGGCAGTTGAGGCCAGGAAGGACTTAGGCAGCATCCCACGTTCTCATTTGACAGATGAGAAAACTGAGGCCCACAGCAGTTAAATGACAGCACTGGTAGTGGTGTTGTTGGCTTTAGAATATGTGTGCTTCCTGTCTCCCTGAACCATTCTGAACTTCATCACCCCACCTCCCCAGTTCCATGTTGCCTCTTGACACATACTTTTCTTCCAAAGCAAAGCAGGCTCACCTCCTTTTGCCACTGGTTGACCAGATCTCTGCCTTGGGGAGCTTCCCTGCACTGGGCGATGGTTTTACATCACGTCCACTGGCCTCTGCGTCTGCAGGATAAAAACATTACATGGCTGAGACATAGAAGGAGATCAGTGCTGCTTTTCACAGGATGCACTCCTGCCGAATTTGGTTTAAACAGGTTTTCCAAAGATTAAAATGTTTAACAGCACCATCTGCGTGCTCTCATCCCCAGGTGCCAATTTGCCCTGCTATTTTCTGAAGCCTGCTGAGTCTGCTAATGCTTTGGGATTTAACTTTTTCATTTGATGAACATCATTTGACCACAGAAACCTGTACAATTTCTGACTTAAGTAACTATTCCCTGTTGTTTGACAAGATTTTTCCAATTGTGTTTCCTAATTCTTAGATGGAAGTATTAAAAAATAATTTAAAAGAACAAGATAAAAGAATTGAAAATCTGAAAGAAAAAGTTAACATACTTGAAGCCCAGGTAAGGAGGGAATCTGTTGTATATTTCACTGTGAATGTGAGTGTGTGTGTGTATTCAGTGTGTCTGTGAGCCTGTGTATGAATGTGTCCTGTGTCTGTGTGCTTGTGTGTGATGTTGTGCCAATGTGACACTATGTTTATGTCTATAAGTGAACGGGTGTGTGAGTGTGTCTGTGTGTGATTGTGTAACTGTGTCTGAGTGTGTGTGAGTGTATTTGCATGTCTGTGTGTATGTATAAGGGTCTTTTTGTGAGTGTGTGTGTATCTTCTATGCATAAGAAATTATAATTTTGAGGGGGAGGTACTTTTGATAATTATTAAAGTATTAAACATCATTTTATGATATTATTAAAATATTAATATTAAATATTATTAAATGATTGTTAAAAGTTCATCCAAATTTTCTGAAATACTTGCTATCTTGGGGAGACAGATGATAACGTCTCTTGAATGGACTTGAATTAGAAGCTTGGTCAAGGCCACTCTTGTGTGAATTTGGCTCTAGCCCGGTAGCCAGGTTTGCTGTCTCCTGTCTTTGTTCCTTTCCCACCCTGAGATGTCCTCTTTTCTCCTCTTTCTTCATCCATATCCGCCGTGGCTTCCAAGCTTTGCCTCAGGGCTCACTCACTTCAAGAAGCCTGTTGTAATTTTCTTATTTTTCAGTGTTTTAAAACTTAGCATGAAGCTTCATCATTTGCTGCGATAAGATGTGTTTCTTCCTGCCCACTCATTGCCCCCTTAACTGGGGAAGCCCTTCTTAGGCTCTCAGCTGCCGTCCCAGCTGGCGGTGGCCATGCCCCACAGGGTGTGCAGCGAAGTGCCGCTGAGGTTGGAGTGCCTGAGGACCGCACAGGGGCCTCCACGTCAGCTCCGCCTCGTGATCAGTGCCACCTCTTCTGTCTCTGCCAAGTGGCTCACCACTGACTGCCTGGACCTGGTCCCGTTTCTACTTCATCCCCCGGTATTTTGACTTCCTGCTTGTTGTCTGCCTGCCATGTTGTCCTGTCCTGTGGAATATGGAGATGCTCTGACTTCCGTTGGAAATCTTGTCATCTTTTGGAGCCTTTCTCCCTCCAGGACAGAACAGAGGAGCTACATGATGGTACTCCCAGCACGCTGCCATGCTGCCCCTTCCACCACCATGTACTTGCTGCTTTCTCCACACAGAAGAAAAAACTCATAATAACATAAAGAGGTTGTAAATATTTTTACATCCGAAATTTTGTAATTATCACTCTGTTTTGCCATTTCTCCTTTCCCAGAGGACCACTGTTCCCTTTATTCTAGAGGGTGAACTCATCAAGCCTCAGGCTTTCCTTAGCTTCTCACCTTCTTTAGGTTTTATGCACAGCTGAAAATGCAGAGATTGCAGACTAATTGGCTCAAAACTAGTGTCGACTCAAGTGCCCAGTAATGGCTGGTCACTTTACATTGGGGGCCTCAGATGATGTGATTCATGTCACCTTAGAGCCTCTTCCTCCTAAGAAATGTCTCTCAAGACATTTCCTCACAGATTTTTTTACATCCTCACAAAAATTAACATTTTTGGCAAATGTTACTTTATACAATATTTTTTCTTGTATTATTTTTTGACATAACTAACATATGTGCATTTGTTCCATACAAATTAGGAAATAAGGATAAGCAAATATAATAAGAAAATTATGCAAACATGCCATCCATGGGCAATTACTGAGCATGGTTGTGTGTATCTTTCTGTGGGAACCAATGTGTATATATTAAAGGTATAGACTATATATTGCATAATACTATGCCAATTTTATTGTATTTTTTAAACTTTTATTCATTTCATTTATTTGTTCATGTCATTAGTCGTGTAACTAATTCTATAAGTACTTATTGAGTGGCTACTATGATGTAGGCACTAAGTTCAGGAAACAATATTGAACAAAATAGACATGAGCCCTGCTTTCTGGCATTTAGTATCAAGAGAGGGAGACAGACACAAGTAAATGAACATGTAACTAACAATATGATGGACATGTTCTTCAGTAAAAGAACAAGATGCTCTGAGAGAGAACATCTGGATGGAGGAATGTATGTGGCTGATTTACATTGGTGGGTGGGAACAGCCTTTCTAAGAAGATAAATTTTAATCTGAGCTCAGTGGAAGACTCAGTGGTAGGGCCTGTTGGGCAGAGGGAGGGATCACTGTCAGTGCTTCTAATCTAAAAAGATTATGTAGAATAGCACGGATGACATTGGAAAGGTAGGAAGAGGATGGATCAGAAAAGGCCTTGAGGCCATGCCAAGGCATCTTTTTTTTGATATAACAATATAGCAAGAAGGTCTTTGGTTACCAATCAGATTACATTTACATTATCTTTTTAAATAGCCACTAAGGTTTCCACTGTATTGATATACAGTAATTTAATTAACTCATTTCCTATTGTAAGACATTAGATTGTTCTTCAGTATTGCTTTCATAAACAGCACTGAATTCAGCAGACTTGTACAAACATCACTGATCATTTGTGTAATTTCTTCCTTCCTTAAGATAAATTTTTAGAAGTGGAATTGGAAACTCAAAGAGTATAATTATTTTTAAGGTTTTTGATATATGTTCTCTGATTTCCAGGATTCTGGGGGATCAAATGTCTCCTTCAGCTGCCACAGCCCCAACTGCAGCTGCCTCTGCTCTAGCAGTTAACATTTTGCTCACTTTTGGTCTTTCAGGCCTTACATTTCTGATCTGCAGATAGTCCTCTTTTTTTCTCTTCATTATTAAGAGATTTTAGTATTTAAAAATCCTTTATTATTACTTAGTAAAATCTAAGAAGAGAGAGATGATAAACACATGCTCAAATTCTCCTTATGGTCTGGGAATCTTATTTAAATCCAAGTTTATCTGTATGTTATTTAGGAGGTCTGGTGTGAGGTAGGGATCTAACTTTTTAGTTGTCTCACTTTACTGAGTAGCCTGTCCTTTCTTCATGAATTTGAAATGCCTATTTATCCTAAACTGAATTTTTAGGTTGGAAATCTGTTCCAATGGTGTATGTGTCCATTTTGGCTCTAATGCCCTGCTACTTTAGTTATTGTACATCTGTAACACATTTTAACTGGTGAGATTATTATCTTTCTCTGATCTTTCACTTCATGATAGTTCTGGGCTCTGGTAATACCTAATTGAATGCCAGCTCTCATCACAGAGTCAAGGTACCAGTGGTGCTAATTGCTTCTAATTGAATTTTATGTTCCGTAGTGGTGTCCGTTTATTTATATCATCCCCAAAGCAGATTTTATTGTCCTAAATAAACTGGCAATTTAACCCAGATAATGTACGTCATCCAATTGGCCTTTTGGTCCAATAGTTAGGCCAGAGCAATGTATTTATTTACATTGTACTCTGTTTCTGTGTTTGAAAATTTAGCAAATGCTTAATGACCAGCCACTCGGTGTGACATGAGAAAGCAACAAATTTATACTCCCCTCATGGAAACTTCTTGGTTGGCTGCAGACCCCCGGCAATGGTGCGAAAGCACTTCTCAGTATTGTCTTAGATTCTCTGTATGTAGTTTAATTCAAGCTACTATTTTCTAATGTTTTCTTTTAGAACAAAAGGTTTAAATTATAGCAGTATCTGATGAATGTCTTTATGTTTTCAAAATTTATTATCTTCAATAGATAAATCTTTTACTTCCCTGCAGGGAATGTTACAATGCCCATTTCAGCTTTAAAAAGTCCAAGCCACATTAATTTATTTGTTCAGCACATAGTTCAGCACAGAAATGTTTAAGTGCTGGGTATACGAGTAATGAACAGAACAGACTGTCCTGACCACATCTAGCTTATACCTTAATTGAAGATACAGACAATAAATACATAAACGAGTAAATAAAAACTTAATAGGGAGGGATAATTGCTCTGAGAGGACTAGAATGTGACAATGTGGCAGTTACAGAGCGCTGGGAGTCAGGAAGGGCATCTCTGAGCCTGTGATATTTGACCAGGTACCTGAATTTAGTGAGTGTGTGAGCCATCATATTCTTCCTTCTAGTCTATCCTAGTCAGTGGTTTCTGATGAAGCTCTCAAACTGGGATGATATATGAAAGAGTGTACTATTTTGCACTGCAAACTGAAGACCACTACCTATTTTGGGTTTCATTAAATAACAGTGTGAACTGATTCAGTTTATGAAAAGTGGTCACCAGAACTTGAACAACCCATCAACTTTCTAAACTATACTGACAGCACAGTTTTCTCATCCATACTAAAAACATTCGTCTCTCTTTAGGCAAGCTACATAGTTAATTTTGTTTAATCCTCAACAGTACTCTGGGAGAAAGTTATTATTTGTCTCATTTCTGTAAGTGATAAAACTGGGATTCAGAGAAGTTAAGAAACTTATTCAAAATCACTCTGCTGCATTTGAGTTTTATTGACTTTGAAGCACTTGCTTTTCCCCCAAAATAACTACTTATCTGGGTGATCAAATAAGTATGTATGTGTGTGTGTATACATGTGTGTGAAATAATATAAATGAATGTGTGTATACAGTATATCTGTATAAATGAATAGTTATAATGTCAAATTTGCATGATTATTTATATTTATTTTAGCCACTGTCACAGTTATTACATTAAAATTATTTCTATTTTCTAGTTCTTTTAAATCATGGAAACAAATACTTTTTTTCTGTGGTATTCTTTCTATCTTAGCAGATTTTTTCCCCCTCCACAAGGGGAATAAAATTCACTCAATAAACTCTATGCATTTTTTTTTTTTAAACCTTTAAGGCTTTTAAACCTCTTTTAAATATCACCAGAAAATTTCTGCTTGACTCTACCCAAATTATTTACTTTTCTTTCTACTTTTGCATATCTTTCATCATCTTAATTTACAGCTCTGACATTCATCTCACATTTCATGCTTTTCTAGCGTCTTCACTAATGACTTGCTCATATGGAAATGCATCTTCAGAAATTACCCCATTTTCTAAACTCTGAAGATTATTCTACTTTATATAATCACCACCATCCCTAAAATTTAATTTAGTTCCAAGAGTGTGTTGATAGAAGATTAAGTATGCAAAAATTAGGTTCTTTTGGAAAACTGTGTTGATAAACTATCCTTGGATAGATTTATAAAAATGGCAGACATATTCTGGCCAGTGATTTGTAGTTTTTTATAAAGTAACTATGTAATAAAACTCACGGATATGGCTATTCTAGTTAAGGGAAAAACTATGAAAGCCCATGAATCAAAATTAAATACCTAAATCTAGTAGATGAAATAAATCAGCATGGAAGTTGAAATAAAGGAGAATCAAGACAGTCTACCATGAGAGCTCTTATGTTTTTATATTGTTTGATACTCAACAACTTGAGAAACTAGGAGTTTATTTTGGAAAGAATCCGAATAGCTTCTATGTTGTTGTGCCGCCACAGAATATTTTTATTTCAGTATTCATTGTCATCATAATGTTGTGTTTCAAATTACTTCATAACTTGTAAAGTACTGTACAGAGAGGAGTTTTTCTTAGCCACATACTTGGCCTCTGATATGTGCCTGCACTGTTTGGAGAGTATGTTAGATTTATCTCTATTATACAAGGAACATCTTTATTATCAATTTATCAAATCTGAAGTATATTTCCTGGGTGAGACTTAAGTGCTTAACTCTTGAAATATCTCAGTGAAATGATTAATGTGTGTGAAGATCTTTGCTCCATCTTTTAGTTATTATTCAGTATAGATGCTGAGGGATAAGAAGGGACAAAATCCACATCTTGTCTCTGCTTTTCTTACTCCAGTGGTTCTTCATCTTAGCTACACATTAGAATCTCCTGTGGAGTCTTGAAAACTCCTGAACCCAGACCACAACCAAGCTAACGGAACCTCTGAGGGTGGGTCTCAGGCATCAGTAGAGTTTAAATCTCCCCAGGTAATTCCAATATACAACCAACACTGAAAAGCACTGTTTCAGTCCAGTGGTTGTCAAACTTGAGCAGACATCAGAATCATCCTGGGAGCTTCTTAGAACACATCACCTGGCCACCCCTGGTTTCTTTATCTTTAAAGCTTTTTTTTGAGGAAGATAGGCCCTGCGCTAACATCTGTTGCCAGTCTTCCTCTTTTTTTTCCTTTTTCTCCTCAAAGCCCCAGTACGTAGTTGTGTATCATACTTGTAGAGTTGTAGCTCTTCTGTGTGGGACACCGCCTCAGCATGGCTTGATGAGCCGTGAGTAGGTCCATGCCCAGGATCTGAACCGGTGAACCCTGGGCCACTGGAGCAGAACCCGCGAACTTAACTGCTACGCCACTGAGCTGGCCCCTGGGTTTCTGATTCAGGAGGTCTTGTTGGGGATCGAGAATTCATAGTTCTATTAAGTTCTCAGGTGATGTTCATATTGTGTATCCCAGGATCAAACTTTAAGAACTGTTGCGTTAGTCTTTTTTCTCTCTTCTAGCACATTTCACCCCATCTTCAAGGTCCAGGTTAAAACCTCCTTGTGTATGAAAATGTCATAAATTATTCTAGTCACACTGATATCTGTTTATGCCTTTTATGTACTAATTAATTACCTACTGCCTTATGGCGTCTCTTGAATTGCTTTTGTTTTTTAATGTTCACATGTTTGTTTTGTCACGTCCACCATAATATGCATCCTATATACTGAAAGAGAAGATACCCTGCTTTCTTATGCTTCTTCACATTCCCTCTGCCCCCCGCTTGGTGCTGTAGACATGGCAGGGACTGACTAACTGGGTGTGTGTGTGGGGGGCTGGATGGTTTTGGTAGATTAATTGTTGATTAATTTCCCGACGGTTTGCTTTCTTCTGTTTCATATTTATCATACCTGGAATCCCTTCAGAAACCATTGAATCTCTGTATCTCCTGGGGCTCGCCATTTACTTATTTGTAATATTAGGAGGTTGGGCTAATTCCTCTGTCACAAAAAAATAACATCTTGCAGGGAAAAGAGCATGAGATTTGGAGTTTGACAGCCCTGTGTAAAGCCTGTGCATTTGCATACCAGTGCTGCATATACTACGTGTGGGTTATCAAAGGAGAGTTACCTAATCAATTTGAGTTTTGCCAGCCTTATTTCTTTAATATGCACAACAATAAAAGTTACTCCACAGAGCTGAGTTCATATCAAAGAAAAGACTGTCTAGAAAACACCAGGCGAAAGTCTTGCATTTGCTAGGCACTCATAATTATTATGTCTCTTGCTTCTATCAAAATTCTAATGTCTGTTTCCCAAAACCATGCATTTTGGTGTTGGCTTACTCCAAACCAACAGGTGGAGTCTTAGGAAATGCATTTTAAACTCCAGTTATGTTTCTCTAAGACCTTAGTTCCCTAAAGAGGAATGGAGCTGGTGTGTTGCTGTTCTTTTAAAGCCATAGGCCCACCCTCCCTCTATCCTCCCTCCCAGTCACCTTTCAGTCCCAGACCCTTCAATACTGGTGTATCCTTTAATGACTGAGTGCAGCCAACTGGCAACTCAGCATTGGCTGTGATCCTTCACTGTTATGTCTCATTTCCCATCTCTGTGAAATGAAATTGCTTGGCTTGACTGTGCTGTAGAGAACATATTGGCTCTGGACTGGGAGGACCTGACTTTGAATCTGAGCTCTGCTGTGAACAAGATGTTGGTCACTTAAACTCTTGGGACCTCAGTTTTTAGTTATAAAAATGATGCTTGTACTAGAAAGTCATAGCCAACTTCATGTAAGTCTTAAAATCTGTGTCAGGCACTGAGCTGCATACTTTACCTGTTTTTATCTTATTTCAGAACCTGTGAAGAAGGGACTATGATCATATCTATTATACAGATGAGGAAATTAGGCACAGAGAGCTTAAGTAACCTAAATGAGGTCACACAGCTAGTAAGTGGCTGAGCTAGGATTTGTATCTGAGAACTTAAACTCTTACCCTTCCTGTAATTAGCCATTGATTTATCTCCCAGAATTATGAGAGTATTTCCAGATTTAAAATATTATGATCATATGATATCTGTTTCTTCCCAAAACTTATACATGATAGGCAGGGCATGTATCATTTACCAGTAGGATAGATATGAAGAAACTGAGGCTTCAATGAGAAAATTGAGGCTAAAGAACCATATAGTAAAGAACAAATGGGCTAATTTTCATGGAGTTTATAATCAAGAGATTGCACAAGAAAGACAAATGTAATCAATATCATGGGCTTAATAAATTATTGTTAGGAAATAATAAATAAAAATAATTCATGAATTATTCATGAATAATAATAAAATTATTTCATGAAGTTCTTTGCGTCTGTCCATATAAAAGAAAGTGTAAAATCAAGCATAGCTAGTTTAGCTGTTGAATTTCAGAGACTAAAGCAGAATATTATATTTTTATCCCTTGGTAAATTGTGCATTTTTGAAGGTGTGTTTGTGATTTCAGAGATAATAGTGACTCTCAACTGGCTACATTCTATGTGCTAATAGAGTGGCTGGAACAAGTGTACTGCCAAGGGGTGATGTACGTGGTGGGCTGATCAGAATCATTAAGCATGTGGCTAATAAATGAGCTAGCTATGTGATCTCTGCACATTTTTTTTTTTCAACTTTAGAATAAAGAACTAAAAACCAAGGTGGCGCTTTGGTCTGAAACTCCTAGAACAACAGAATCTAAGGCTGTCTCAACAAGGTAAGGTCTTTCTTCCCCCTCCTCCATCTGCCTTGACAACCTCTGTTGAACATTCATGAATGTTGACATTCATCCGCCTTGAAAAAGATTCCAATCCATTAATACTTAAGTAATCATTTGTTTACTATTTGCCTGTCTTTGAGAATAAGAGCTGTGTTAATCTTGTTCACCATTGAGTCCTCAAAGCCTAACATATGTATACTGAATAAATGAATGAATAAATTTAGGTATCTTTTTTTCCTCTTCTTTGCCATAAAACAGGCCCAGTCTTGGCTTCAACACTTTTTCCAAACAGTACAGATCATCTTCTCTATTGTCCTTGTCCCTGTATTACTCATATTTTCTGTGCCATGGATGAGCATTTTAATCATTAATTGTTTGTCTTTATTTAAATGTCCATGTCTGTATTTCCGATCACATAGATTGTAAATGTCAAGAGGGAATGAAGAGTTCCTTGTATTTCACTTTATTTCCTGCATTGTTAAGGACAAGTGTCTTCAATAACTACCTAATAATGACTGAATCAAGCAATGATAATGACCCACTAAAGCAATCGAAATGATAGTTGAAACCATCAAAGACACTTTCTAATGATGACAGAATCTGAAGTGACAAGTTGTAAGAAAAAAAAAACAAACCAAAAAGACTTCTGGGCTCAAATCTCATTTCCATAATACTCTGAAATTATCACTTAAAAGAAAACATAGTCTGTAATTACATGAATCATTTAAAAAGTGATTAAAACCTTCCTGTTCTAGCAGCTTTTGGAATTCCCAGTCTAGTCCCTCTAGGGCAGAAGCCCATTTTCTGAAACTCTCTTCAGTACAGTGCCTGAGGTGGAGAATCAGGCCCACTGTGATTACATCAGTCTAGGAATTCAGGCAGATTCATCTCCCTCTTAAAACTCCCATCAACAGTGCTTCACTTTGCTAATGATGTATGTAAATAGAGACTTGAGATGAAACCATTATGAATCAAGTTCTTCTAAAATCTTTGGGTCCCCAGATGCTAAGATATCAACTTTTTGGCCACTAGCCCTGCAACTTCTAATACAGAAAAGAAATTAAGCCTCAATAGTGTTAAAGGAGGAAGTGCAATGCCCACATTTCAGAAGCAATGAGAGAAGTAGTCACAGTGGGAAAAGAGATGAAGAATTTAGAATACAAGAGCAAGCATGACTTTCTGAGGGAAGGGAGGATGGTTGATTTTTTTGCTCCTTCACCAGATACCATTCCCATTGGGGTGGTGAGACATCATGGCCAACCTCAGCTGTTTTGACCCTGGGAGGGGGGAGAGTGGAGCCAGAGTGGAGTAGAGGAGAGAGCAACTGGTTGTCTCCGTATTCTAACTACTCCAGTATTGAATGCTGAGACTCTGGCTGGTACAGACAGGATGTGTTGGAGAGAATGACTTCTACAGCCAATTCTTTAGCTGCAGTTAATTAATCGTTAAGGGTCTTTTAGTTTTAAAGATTTGTTTTTTCTCCCTATGACTTGGGAAAGGTCAAATGGGAAAATTTCCTAATTGAAATAGGGGAACTGGACTGAACATGCCCTTTGTTTTATGATTTTTGATAGAAATTCCAGTATTAATGATATAATGGTAGGTCTCATGTTTGCAAAAGGAAACATAGTCAACTGGCCGCTTTGAGAATGTACACGGTAGTATGGTGTGGTAAGTCTGCATTCACCAATATACGATAGAATTATAACTCTAGGGAGGGATTGGAGTATAAAAGTAGCTGTTAAGGCAAAAAAATTCATACATTTAACAATTAATCTAGGCACATCTCTTAAATCACCCATAAAATTTAGTTCTATGCCATATCTCAGTAAGTACCCAAAAACAAGAATTTTTTCCTCGATGTTTAGAACATATAGATGTTTCTGGAGTTGAACACCAGAAGAAGTGGTTTGCTGGAGATTAGGGGTCGTGTTATTAGATGACAACAATAAAAGACACATATATTCTGTATGTGTACATGCATACATATATTGATGTGTGTGTGTATATATATATATATATGTCTATTTTTTTAAAAACTAGAATCACACAGTGAGGAGAGAAGTTCAGCCCACAGAACTCTCCTGAGGAGAGTTGATTTGTATTTCCCATCTTCACATCACTCTGGTGCATATGTTCACTGAGGGGAATGACAGACACACGCTCTAACTCTTTCTCACTTCCCCTCACTCTTGTCTTATTGTAATTAGCTGAATTTACATAAGTTTAATGCTTCCACAACTCGATTCTACTGTGTCTCATGGGGAATTAGTCAGAATCGACTAATTAGCCACCATCTCTTAGAGGAAAGCAATTAGTTCAGACTTGGTAATACAGTGGTTGTGGAGATGGTAATGGTGATGGTACAGAAATTATATCACTAAAGTTTAATGTGCTCAATTTTGATAATTGTGTGGTCTTTTCTACAGCGAATTGAAGACTGAAGGCACTACCCCCTATTTGATGTTGGTTAGGCTACGGAAATGAGCTGCTGGGAGAAGATCTGACTGAGAAAGATCATTATGTGGGTCTTATTTATTCCTTGAAACACAGTCTAAACTTGCATGTTAAAATGGCTCAGTGGCAGTATTTAATGGAATTTGTTATACATCAATAGCTTTGCAAGAAGATAACATTCCAGAAAATCAAACAAATATATATTTGAGAGAAGAGACTCTTTCTTCAAAACTTTCTAAATGGGTGAAGAAACCAGGTGCTTGCCCATGATGGAAGATGAATTTTGCTTTAAATTAAAAAAAAATTCCAAATCATTTTTGGTGAAGGGGGTGGTTTAAGGTTGTCAACTTTGACCTTTTGATAGTTTTTTTTTTTTTTTGCTTAAGGAAGATTGTCGCTGAGATAACATCTGTACCAATCTTCCTCTGTTTTGTATATGGGATGCCACCACAGCATGGCTTGATAAGCGGTGCATGGGTTCACGCCCGGGATCTGAAGCCATGAACCCCAGGCCGCCGAAGCAGAGCACACAAACTTAACCACTACGCCACCGGCCCGCCCCTTGATTGTGGTTTTTATGTACATAAATAGAAGGAAGAATGTATATGTGTTTGAATAAATGATATATTTTGAAGTTGACTTTTGAACAATAAGAAATATCTTATCATGGTATAAGTTCATCTTCTGACCCAGTGTTAGTGGGAGAGTTCTTGACTGAGTTATGGGCAGGAGAAGGAGTAGATTCTTTTTAGCTAATTCTCCAACCCACATAACCCTCCATACTTGAGAATCATGGCTGCCTCACCACATCTAGGAAGCCACTGTTCTTCAGCTGGGATTGAAAATTGGTTGCTAGAAGCAACCCACACATAAGCACAAAGGAATGCATTTTGTGGCTCTGAGTTTGTGACTAATTTTGTTTTCAGTATTCGTTATACTATCTAAGTATGCTATTTGAGGGGAAGAATAGAACACAATGCCGTTAGCTCATACCTCCATAAAAATGTATATATTATGGGTTCAAAGGAACAGTGGCTGCTGTCTGCAGCCAGGAAGAATCTGAGTTCATGGATTGGAATGATATGTCTAGTGCTTTTGTGAAAATGTGCTTAAAGTTTGACACCTGCGTTCATGACAGGTGGGATCTGTGATTGCTATGAGTAAAACCAAACTCTAGCTGTAGAAATGCAAACCCACTGACTCTCAGGAAAGCAGAACACACTTCAACTAAAGGAATAATGGGAGACCTTAGTCACCCGAAATGTTGAATTAACTTTTTGATCCTCCTCTCTGGTGTATAACGCTAAACATTTTCTCAGGAAAGATGCTTCAAGCCTTTCAATATGGAATGTGAGATATCAGTATTATCTATGAAATATTTAAAGATATGTACAAATGAGATGAAGTAATGTAGTATTTATAAATTCATCAAAGTACTGTAATCTTTGAAATGTTGCATAACTATATGTATGAATTTCATGCTTCATGTTTTTATTGCTTGCTAGTTTTTAAGGTGTAGTTATCTAATAGCATTTAGGGCACAGTTACCCTATGCCAGGAACCGTTCTAAGTACTTTACGTGTATTAATTACTTTAATCCTCCCAACAACCCTCAGAAGCAGGTCATATTAATATCCCCATTTTCTGGGGGAGGATACTGTGAGTGGTTAAGTAATTTGCCCTACTGCTAACTCTGGAGTAAGGATTTGAACCTTTTGGCTTGGCTGTCAGTATTCCTTCTACCTGCTCACTTGGTGGTCTGAGATATTTCCCAGCTATAGAAATGCCTCTCTTTCTGCTACTTTAACAAACACAGCCTTCTTGTTGGCTTTCTGCATTATCCTGTGGATGACAGTCGGAAGCAACACTTACTAATAGAGTAAATATTTTGCTGAGATGAGTTGGCCTTTCACCTGTTGGACTACCCTCATGAGAACTTAGTTCAGAAAAACTTCCCCACTAAACATCTGCTTATTTTATATTTATTATTCATGACTTTATACCACACTGAAGATTTTTTGGTAATACATTTTCAGGCGCATTTGTAGGGAATTGGGACCACAAATTCTGCTTCAAGCATTTGCAATGTAGCAAGAGAATTCATCTTTCACTTAGAGATCCCTTAGGTTCCTCTTATACCTCAGTCGTGCTGGATTGTAATAACCATGGGATTTTGGGATGGATCCATCTATCTGAGCTAACAATCTAGATGATTTCCATTAGAATAATGTATTCTAAAGTCAAAAATGGAAAGACACTGTTGGATTTTATTTTGGTTTCAATATGCTCATTTTTGAACAGAGAAGTGCAGCTGGATGTAATATAGATGGACGTACTCATGTGGCCTCCACGTTCACTTTGGAGTGGTCTTTGGATCTCCTGAGAATAAAAATAAGTTCCAGAAGCCTAAAAAGATCTGAACTCTTCAAATACAGAAGTATCTTCTTAGTAGCCTCAAACACATCATCTGTTTGTCACATATGGATTGTTTCCTAAATCCTTATCATGTCAGCTTTTATCATTTGAAATGTTTGTTAAATAAACATTTCTGAGTGATAAAACAAACGACTACAATGGAGAATGAAATTTATTAGTTAAAAGTTGTACCACGTAAGACATACAGGAAAAGAAACTAATTCAATTGTAGCCTAAATAATTGTACTTACAATTATACTAATCAATATATTGGATAAGAAGGTCTGAGGTGGGTCTTGAAGTGAACACATGGAGGTGGGAAATGAAAAGAAACTTAGTTTCACCTTGATTATATATATCATTACAAATTATCATTAAGCAATGTTTAAACAATTGATATAGTATATCTTTTCAATAATTGCTTATAATATGCCTTACAATAAAGATTGACGTTATGTGTTGTAAATTTTTTGTTTTTATTTCTTTTTACATTAAAATTATTATATATAAATGAATTGAGTAGTTTTTATTTGATTGCTTATGACAATATAATCCATAGTAAATGGATTGTTATTGTCAGTAAACAGACATTTAGATAGCTCCCTGCTAAATTTTTTTGCTAATTTTCCCTGGATCTGTATTAACAGCAAAAGTAATCCATTATGTTTTTATTCTAAATTTGAAAAAATACTAACATTATAAAATTAAGAACACACAGAAACTTCTCAAATTCTTTCATATTTCTTCACTTTGAAAATCTTTACCACTCCTCTGACATGCAAATAATTATAGAATCTTCATCAATATTGAAGCAGGAACCCAATACATCCAGAACTGAAAATTCCCTCAACTAATATCATAATCATTATAATTCCCTTCTTTTCTTCTCTTATTTTTTGGTGGGAAATATTAAGGATGCAATAAAGATTTAAATAATTGTATTTGATCACTTTGTTATTATTCAAGTGCACACTTATAAGTGTTTAAAATTGTAGTAGAATTATGGAAAACTGGGATTTATTCTAAGCATGCAAGGTTGGTTTATCATTTGAAAATCAGTCAATGTAATTAACCATATACACATAATAAAGAAGAGAAATTATGTGATTTTAATAAATGAAGAACAGTATTTGACAAAATTCAGCACCCATTCGTGATAAAAACTTAGCAAACTAGGAATAGTAAGAAACTTTATCATTCTGATAAAGAGCATTTATAAAAGACTTCAGTCAATATAACTAATGATGAAAGACTAATGCTTTCCCTGCTAATATTGGGAACAAGGAAAAGATGCTTGCTTTCACAACTTTTCTTAAAAAGTGTACTGTAGGTTTTAGCCCTTGGAATATAGCAAGAAAAAGAAAAAGAAAGAAAAGGCATACAGATTGAAAAGGAAAAGTAAAACTGTCCATTTTCTGAAGTTCCTGTAATTGTTGATGTAGAAAACATTAATGAGTCTACAAAACAACTACCAGAACTGATAACAAGTTCACAGATTACGAGGTTAAAATACAAAAATCGATATATCAGCAGTTTGGTGTTGGTGAAAAGAGAGACAAATATATCAATGGATTGAAGGAGAATCCATAAATAGACCCATATATGTGGTTGATTTTTAACAAAGATGCCCAGGCTCCAGTGGAGGAAGGAGTCTTCTAAATGGTGCTGGAAATACTAGAAGTATTTGTATGGGAAAAAGTGAGCATCAGTGCTTACCTCACACGATATATAATAATTAACCTGAAATGGACAATATACCTAAATGTTAAGCTAAAACTATAAAGTTTCTAGGAGAAAACATAGTAGATTATCTTTGCAATATTAAAGTAGGCAAGATTCTTAAATACTACATAAAGAGCACAAACCATGAAAAAGAATTGATAAGTTGGACTTCATTAAAATTTAAATCTTTTGTTCTTTGAAAGACATCACTAAACAAATAAAAAAGCAACCTACAGAATGAGAGAAAATACACACAACATGTATAGGATTTGTATCCAGAATATATGAAGAACTTTTTCAACAAAATAAGACAAAAAGAACCCAATAAAAAAAAATGTTTGGAGTCACTTCACAAAACAAGATATGCAAATTACAAATAAACACATGAAAAGATTAATACATCAGTTATTAATTATAAAAGATTAATACATTGGTTATCAGGGAAATACAAATTAAAACCACTAAGAAATGCCACCAAAAACCCATTAGAACAGAAAAAATTAAAAAAGACTGGCCCTATTGAGGATGTGGAGCAACTAAACTTATACGATACAGGTGGGAATGCAAAAATGGTACAACCACTTTGGAAAACAGGCTAGTTCTTAAAAAGTCAAATATACACCTGCCATATGACCTAGTCATTCCATTCTTCAGTTTTTACCTGAGAAAAACAACACTTCTGTCCACATAAAGATTCATGCATGAATTTTCTTAGCACCTGTGTTTGTAATAACCAAAAACGAAAAACAAAACAAATGTCCATGAACAGGAGAATAGGTAAACAAAATGTGGTACGCCCATACGTTGGAATATAACTCAACAATTATAAGGAACATACGACAAACAAATATATACAACAACAGATAAATCCCAAATTATTGTGCTTAGTGAAAGAAGCCAGAGGAAAAAAAAGAACATATACATATTTCCATGGTGACAGAGAGCAAATCAGTGTTTACCACGGGACAGGAGTAGAGGAGGGATAGACTGCAAAGGGGAACAGAGAAACATTGGGAGGGAAATAGAAATGCTCAGTGTGTTGTTAATGGTGATGTGTTCATGGATGTGTTCCATGTCAGAAATCAATAAATTGTACAATTTAAATATTTACTTCAATAAAGTAATAAAAGAATTTAAGTTAACACAATGTTACTTTATGGTCCCCCCAATCAGTTTCTCACACAGGATTCATTCATTTCTTCTTTCAACAAATATTAGTTGAATGCCCTCTATCTG